GGTGCGATGAGGCTAGCATTTACGTACAATGAAAGCCTCTAAATATATAAACAACAAAAAAAAATTTTTTTCTCAGTAAGTGTATTAAGAAGGTTTCGCTGAATTTACGACACGACAGCTCGAATATTTTAAAGTGGTCGTTTCACTTATAGTTTGCAAGGAAATAAAGTACCATGCAGGTACTAAGTTTATTTTATTGTTGTTAGGCTGCACCCAGTCATGTCACCTGTAGCCTTATTGTATAATTATAGCAAACAAAACACATAGAGTACTTATTTGAATCAAAATTATAACTTAATTGACACGGCCCTTATAGCGGCTAAATAACATTTTAACAGCCTAATTCTATCGATACTGTTCTGTTTTCGAAGTAAAATGCTTAAATTTTCAAAATATACGTTCTTTTTCAAATTTGGAACACGATTCTGATTACGTTGAACTCGTCGAAGGCACCTGGGTACGACTGGCCGCGCCAATTATTTAAAGTGTTAAGTTTAAACAGAAGAAGAACTCGGGTGCATTATGAAAATGGCTTCAGGAGTGCCCCTCCCACACCCCACTCAAGTGGGTGCACCCGCTTTCTAAGTAATTGTTTCATAGACTAAGTCTAGCGAGCGTTGCGTTTCCAAATGAGTTTTCATGTTTCTTTTATTTTTATGCATATAACCTTTTTGAGTATATAATCGTCATTCGCAACAAAAGTTTACGTTCCATTTTTTAAAAGTAGAATGCAATTCAAAAAGTGAATAAAAAACAAGGAATTTGACATATAATCGCCATTGAAAATCCTAAAAATTTCATTTTAATTGGAATTAATGCACAAATTATGAGCGTAAGTGAATCTAAAGAAAATAGACGGGACTCGAACCCACACCCTTCGCTGTCCGGGCGAATGACCAATTATGCTACCGCGGCCCCGATGGCCGGGTCGAAATTCTTCTAGCCATACTTAAGCTGCAAGACAGCGCCATCTCTTCGCATTGTACGTAACCCACAATGTCAAATGAATACTTTTACAAGCATTAAACATTTGAAAGAAGAAATAGCAATTAGCTATAATTTTTATTTTTTAAGCATGTAACTGCTATATGTTTAAATCTAAAGAAAATATAACTAGAAAAAATCTACGCGGCAGCAGACGGGACTTGAACCCGCACCCTTCGCTATCCAGGCGAATGCACTGACCAATTATGCTACCGTCGAAATTCTTCTAGCCATTCTTAATCTCTTCGCATTGTACGTAACTCTAAATGTCAAAAAAAGAAAATATAGCGTAAGTGAAGATAATACAAATGACAACTTTCGAGCTCCGCAGCGACATTAACTTTTAAGGTGCTAATAGGATTGTCATATCGCTACATTATTGCGGCGCAGCCTTATACAGACATCGTATGAGACACGTTTTCAACATCTTTATTGCCTGTAACCGACATTACTATTACTGTGGGACGAAATTTGTTTTCTGAGATGTAAATGAACATGTTTTAAGTGTGACTTTGTATTTTACTAATAATTAAAGTTACTTACTTCTCTTTACAGACGAAAAATTTTAAGTTCAATGAAGTTTTTCTCATGAGAAACAGAAAATGTTTACGATGAGTCAATATTTTTTTATGTTAATCATAATCAATCATAACCAAAATCATTTATTCAGTTTAGGCTGTTACAAGCACTCATGAATGTCTAGAAGCTACGCCATCGGTTCGTAAATCTACGGCGGGAGACCTTGTACTGAGAAGAACCGGCAAGAAACTCAGCAAGGGCTGTTTTTTTCTCCCTGTTTTATTATTTACAGAGTCGTCAAATTGAACAATGACTTCAGAGATGATTCATAAAGTCACCTTTCATTACATAATTATTCAATATACATTAATTGTTTACCTGCATTTTGATTGCTGTGTCATACAGTATAAATACAATATATAATCAGGTTTCTACGTACCTCCTTACCTTAAAATGAAACAGTGTATACCACAGAACACAGAGGTTAGAAGGGTCTTCAGAGACCTTTTGTACGGGAACCGATGTCGCCGGCTCGCCCGCACTACACTTACACCTAATAGATATTAGCCAATCAAACGCCGTGACATCAAACAATCGAACCAATCGGCGCTCACACCCCATCGCAACAAAGCAATCGTTGCCAAGTTTTGGTCAAGTTATGAGCATTTGCTCACAACTAACTGTGGCGCGCCTGCCCCGCCCACAAGGCCCTTCTAACATCTTTCTGTGTTCTGTGGTGTATACGACATTACATTGTGAATGCCAAAAATAATGCGATTACAAAAGGGTGTTGTTAATAAAAGCGATTATCATACTAATATTATTACTATTATATTCGGCAATCAAACGTTAAACGGAATCCGGGATTAGAGCGGTCTTCTAGGGTAGACACCAGGCGAGCTGAAGACCCCGGGTTGGTCAGCGTGTCTAATCGGGCGAGAGGCATTATCGCTCGGCCACTCTCGGCTTAATCGTCCGCCCGCTCTGATTAGCTAAGCTCCCGGCCTATCTGGCCCCCTGGTACCCCGATTATGCAGGCACGACTTGTTGTGTACTTTGACCTGGCAGGGAAATGAGATAGTGGCCTGCCTGGACACGGTATCGGCCCTTCTGCGAGTCGGATAGTTAATGTATTCATCATATTTAAAACAAAAAGTTTCCTTCAAATATTGTCTGGGTAATTTAAACGTTTTTGCTGAATTTGTCTCTTAGGTTTTCACGCACATCACTCATTAAATAAAACTAGTTTTTACGGGTTAATGCACGAAACTTTATTTATTTAATGACGTTTCGTAGCCTTTACAGGCTACGTCGTCGGAATCAAATTTTTATTTAATTTTGTCGAGCTACCTTCGGAAGACTTTTATTGAGCGTTCGGTTATTTCATTGTTCAATTTTAGAGTTTTATTGTCTATGTATGAATTTATAACGTAATTTAGTCAATAATTAAAATTCTTTTTTGTAATTTTGAGTTTATTTATTTGACCCTAACTACCGTAAACTACCACCGGTTCCAAAACTGGGAGACCTTTCTGTGAAGAACCGGCGAAACAAACTCAAGAGAGGCTTTCTATCTCCTTCTTATGTTAAATTATGCAAACAAAATGACGACCGACGACGTAGCCTGTAAAGGCTACGAAACGTCAATAAACAAATAAAGTTTCGTGCATTAACCCGTAAAAAAAACTAGTTTTATTTAGTTTTTACTGAATTTTCCAATAATTCCATATGCAAAACGGAAAGTTATTACGTAAAGCTGCAACTTCACTGGCGAGCTTAATCTTCCTAAACGCGCAAATTAAACGTCAAACATGGAGCGCGCGGCGCACCTGACGATAACTCATCCAGATGCAAATGTCCGCATTATCAGCGAGACGCACCCGACACCCGTTTGTGTATGCAAATGCCTTGTTTATTAAAATTAAATAAATACGGCCCTGTCCCCGATGTACTAGAGCCGCATAAATTCGCGGAGCTCTTTGTTTTAATTAAGTCCATAGAGAGAACGTGCGCAATCATTTAGCTGCAAGTCTTATTGGATTACTTGTACGACGTCCACACTTGCAATTTTGCTCTTGCAAAGGGAAAAAAGAGGCTAACATCCGGAGTTGCTCGGGCTCTTGCGAACTTCGCTCACAATCTAGATATATGGCCGAGTTAAGATGTGCATCTAAATAGCCTCTGCCGCCTTGGTACCTAACTTTAGATTACTTGCACCAAGTTTACCGACTTTCCGGGGGGAAATAGTTAAGTTTTCTTCTTGGAAAAATTCCCGCGTGTAACCCATTCAGTTTGGCTCAAATTTACTGCTCAAGTTGGATGCTCTCAGCGCCGCGGAAATTATAATGTTGTATGCAAACACAAGCGACATTTTTATATTACGACCGTAATTTCGTGACTTTGTTATTTGCTATTAACATTTTCTTTAACTCCAACACAATTTGAAGGAAGGAGGGATCGTAGAATATTTTTATTATGTTTCAAGAAAAGCAGCAAAAAAAATGTGACCGGTTATAGACTGGTTTGGCGAAATGTGTCTCCGTATACCCTAATAAATTAACATCTGTACGGTATTAGGGACGGTGAAATAACCCGTTGTTTTAAGAGCGAGGGCACCAAGGCACCATGAGATGAAGGGTTCACGCCCTCATCAAGAATTCATCACGAAACACTTTGGGCGAGCTATTAGGATCGGTCCCGATGGACGGTGTTGACCAGTATAGTGCATTTTTAAGGGGATACCCCCGATTGTAAGGTACGCGAATTATGGGATTTCGTTACCTTTTACAGGGTTGGAAGGAAGCCCTTCGTAATTTAAAAGAAAGAGCAAATAAGAGTATTTTTATTTAACAAAAACAAATAACCTTTTTTTGAATAAATTCTATATGCTCGAAAAAAGGCAGGCTTTATAATCCTATCGAGCGTACAAAGCTACCAGGAGCTGAGAAAAACCGAGGAGATCATATATTTGCGAAAGCCCGTTACGCACGGGACAACGCAGGTGTATCTCCCTCCACATAAATACCCGCCCGCCCTTTTTAATATACCCTAGATTTGGCATAACACCTCCTGATATAGGGGATTCTAGGAGACCGGGCGACGCAATAACTGTGACATCGGGATGCATTAATCAAACTGAGCTGGAATCCGCGCGGATTTTTCGGCGCTCCTCGGATATTGCTTGTCGCTAACTTATGGCGCCCTGGTACTGTTAATATCATGCTTAAGAGTTATATTCGTTTCGGAAAAAGCATTTTCTATTTGCAAACTACAGTCAATTTTCCAAAATAAAGACAATATTTTATCTCGGAAAGGAAACATTTATTATATAAATATAACAGTGTAGCAGAAGCTAGATTATGAAGGTGCCATAACATTAAGACAGAATAAGTTGCAACGATAACGCAAAGGGGCGCACACCTTTCGCGCCAATTTCGCCAACACAAGATGTCCGCCGCCGTCAAATCACGAACAATTACAAACAACTGCAATAAAAGCTACTCCAGCGGGCCGAGTTGACCAAAATTACCCATTTCATATCTGGCCGGTGTATCGGACCCCCTCGAGGGGAACAGGGGTGGTAAGGGAGGGGAGGGGGTCGTTAAGATAAGATATCTCGGAGTGGACCGTCTAAGGTTACACAGGATACGGCGCAGGGTTTGGGGGTCGATTCTGATAGCGGTCAGTTATGGCTTTGTAATAGTGGAACGGTCGTACGTACCCGAGTATTTTATAAAAAATAATCTCAATACTTTTTTTCTATTACTAATAAAAAGTATGGCAAATGTTTTTTTTACAATATCCCGAATATTGGAAGCATTTTGAATTCAAAGGAAATGATTCGACGAACTTAAATTAATAAGATCAGTTAAAAACACGGATTCGGAAAATACTTATAATGTAACTGAACTGAACTGAACTAGAAAAAAATCTTTCGGGATTTTTGGTTCGATAAATTTAACTGACATATGTCGTTTCTTCAATAATAAATTTGCAATTTCATATGTAATATTGGTCAGACAGCTTTGTAATAAAAAAATAAATAAAAATCAAAATTACAATCCCCCGTTCTCATTAAAAGTTTCAGTAATGGTAGATATTGGATTGGCGCAATCAACTCCGCATCGGCCACCGCTCGAGGCGCCCGCATTATCTGCGGTCCAGACCAGATCAACTGGCACTTGCAATATACCCCTTTATTTTGGTAATAAGGAGTTAACGGTTTATTAAATTTCTAATTTACTACTTTTATTACATAACTTTATATATTAAATCAACCAAAAAAAAATGACGACGATTTTAAAAGTAAAGTTCCAGAACTGGATTTTGTATTCGAATTGCGAATGCTTTCCTAATTCAAAAATTCACATTTACCAACTTTTGAGACTTGCCAATATGACAAATTTTGGAGTTAGTCAAAGGCATTTCTATGCTTTCAAAATATTTAAAAAGAAAATGGTGACTTTAGACGTAAGTACATATAACATTTGACGAAAAATCTAAAGAAGCAACATCTTATCAGTTTCACAAATATTGACTGCTTGTTTATGCGCTAATCTTTTCGACTACCATCTCTGTCAATATTCCCCGTTCCGTCCGTCACCCTTAATGTCAAACATCCTAAGCAAACCGAGCAATATGATAACTCTCCTAATCTATTCCGGGAACAAAACCCGCTACTCGCAAACACGGAAACCCTTTCGGCAAACTCGCCTATCAAATGACGGTAGGTATTAATTAAACTAGGAAAAAGCCCGCCAAAATTATAACTTTTCGACAAATAATGACGTCATTATGAAATTCGATGCGATGACGACGATTAACCGAGTTCTTAGTTAAAAAATTACTTTCGTTTTTTTTACTTGCGAGGTTGCGTTTTGTAAATTTTAAGTGTTCGAATTTTAAAATTTTGGAATCTAACATAGACTTACTAATTTATTAAAGAAACTGTTATTGTTTTTTAAGGGTGTGATTATTTTTCTCAGTCTCCGTGAATTTCGTTATTTTAAACAGTCTAAGATATGTAGACAGTTACTTGGAAATCAGTAACGAAGCTGCGAGGTCTGTGTAAAGTATTCTGACGGCTATACTTAGAGAAATCAATTTTTAAGTCAAAAAGAAGATGAAGATAAATTAATTGAATTCTGTGAATGTGACCGTTACTCGTTTAAAGAAGTAAGAATACTTTTTTTTTAATTTCTTATCATTGAGCTAAGCAAAGTTAACTGAATATACTCCTACCTTTACAAATAGATTTATTGATGGTGAATTCGTAGCATATGATATTATAATAAATAAAAAAAAAAAATCTTTCATAATATAGTCTTTAACAAAATCATCGATGGGACCCTCCATTTGGGCCTGTGTTTGAAGTCTCCTTAATATTACGGTAAAGTAAATTAAAATGTTAAATGAAAATGTATTTTATTGAATTCTAAATTCGAACGTGTCACCAGCGGCACCCATCCATCCTGTTAATCGCACAGAACACCCTCGCAGCAGACTAGAAATTTAAATTTTGAGAATATCCACGACGCTGTATATTCTGTCCCCTTCTAATGCTCGCTAAGGGCGCATAATGTCATCTCACCTACACACTCTATTTCCGGCAGATCCGAATTTCCTGTCCAGTCGGTAGTCGTCGCGGTATTAAGCGTCGCTTACTTAAAAAGTGGGTAGTTTTCGGAAATCTGCTCCCGGATAAACGGAAATGATTTCTGTCGCCCGTAAGGGGCATTCCTCTACAGATACCAACGCGCAAATGTCTCACATTGAAGAGTAGCGCAGTATATTTTGAAATAGGAAGACCACCTATAAAACTAGATATGTTTAATTCCTTTTTCGAATTTGAAAAATTCTTCGTTATTAGTTTTTAAATTTCGAATTTGATCAAATGTTTTTCTGAAAGATATAAACCAATAGACTTTGTTAATCTATTTTATAGTTCAAATCAAGTTCAAATTGACGTCTAATACCATTATTTCGTGGTGTATCCGTAATTGCATGTATGGAATAGAACTCGTAAGTAACTTAGCTCGAAATTTCCATCAAAACTCTTGTGTCAACGGTGTACCAGTATTTATTTGGGGGAGCCACGAATAAAAAAGGTCTTTACCGTTTAATTCGCGGAGATTCCCTCAGTCCACGTCTTCCAATATTAATAAATTCTCGTTTCCCGGATTCGCTTGCAATTTGCCCCCGCTTCGAGCGAAACTTACGAGTCGCCCTTTACCTAAATAAAGCTAGGGAAGGCCAACTTTCCTCAAGATTTTTAACACCGAAAACGGTCGAAAATTGAGTCATATTTTGGTGGAACATTATTGGGTTAGTGGAGATGGTAAATAAAAGCTTTAGGTGGATTCTCGCTCGCGACACTAATAAGGCCTTCGGAAACGGATGTCCGTAATCCTTTTTAATTTGGTTAAAGTGTGGAAGTTTATGGTCACTTTATATTGCTTTTGCAGTCAATGGGTTGACGAAGGAAGATTTTTACTTCTCAGTTTTGATGTAGATTTGAAGGTGTACGTATTTATTCATTAGTTTATTAATTTTATGGCTTTCATTATATGTCTTCTAATAGTTATAAGTGCTTCTATATCATGCCGTAGAACTGGCTAAATGGATAGTTGCAGCTTCACATTGTTAATGTTATTTGATTTAAGATATGGAATCTCTTTAAGAATTTCTCAAAAATGTAAGAAATGTACTCAATAATTTATATATACAGGGTGTCCCACGGGTTTGTCACACGGAGGGAAATTATATTAAATATTGAAGATAGGATTTTACTGAAGGAAGAAATCATTTTATTTTTAATAAAAAGTAGAACTGCATTCACAGAGGTTTTAAAAAGCGCCTGCTATAAATGGGAATGAAACTCGTGAAATTAAAAAAAAAAACACATGACGTATTTTATGATTCGACGACCTCCGTGGCCGAGTGGTTTGTACGCCGGGTTTCATGGCGTCGCCGACTCGAGAGGTCCTGGGTTCGAATCCCGGTGGGGGCAGATGTTTGTGTGATGAATACGAGCATTTGTACTCCAGTCATTGATGTTTAATATATATTTCTATATAAATATACTTATATATGTACAATATATGTATTCTATCCGTTACCCTAGAATCCCATAATACAAGCCTTATAGTGCTTACTTTGGGGCTAGGCTAATTGGTGTGAGTGTTGGAAATATTTATTTTTATTATCATGATAACCGTGGAAAGGGTTACTCATAAGGATTATTTTTCCCATAGAAGCCCTATATACGTTAACACGTAGCAACATTCCATTTCTTAAGCGTTTGGCTTGATTTCTCCACAGACGTTAAGCACCAGGCCAGCATGGCGTCTTAGGCGATCTAACCTCGCGTGTGCATAAATAAACTGCGGCGCGTCTATTACAGGCGGCTTCTCAAAGAGAACTCGATACTGGTGTAACTTAACACCGCACGCTCTAGGAATTCCGCGTTTCGCAAACTCCTACAGCCTTCTGTACCCTTAGCACGACCTATTCTCGAATAGTTTGCGAGTCCGAAATGTCATTGTCAAATTTTGTACGGGAACTTGAACAGCAGCGCCATAACGGACGTAACGAGAACTAAAAATCAGTACACATTTGACAATGACGTTTCGTTCTCGCAAACGTTTAGAATGCGATATTGGTTCGTGCTAAGGGTGCTGGTGTCACTAGCGGCCGCCTGCGACTTCCCCGATTACGTTTTCCGGGATAAAAGTATCCTTTGTCTCAATCCAGGTAATAAACTATATGCTTACCAAATTTCATCCAAATCCGATCAGCAGTTTTTTTTAATGATTGGGTAACAAACATAAACTTTCACATTTATAATAAAAGTATACACTTATGATATCTATTGACATCCATACACTTTTGCCTTACATCCTTTGCGTATGATGACACTTCTACGGTTAAAGTCGTGATAAGGATGATGACGGAAATAATAGTGACAGATTGCAATACTATCAACAATTTCCGAATACTTTCAATCCGTTAGCAACATAATAACTATCAGTTAGCCAATTCTAAACTTGCCTATCACCCCCGATCAAGTATGAGTTTTCTGTCAAATTCACTGTTAAGAAATTAAAGACTTACAATAAACGAAAGCGTAATACAACAATAAGAAAATCAAAAAACACATGTAACTATGTACCTACCGAAAGGCATCCGAAAACAATGCGGCTGGCGCGCAGCAGGAATCTGTCGCGAGATTATTGCTGGTGTTATAATTATTTTTAGCGGGGGCTCCGCGCCCAGGATTTGTCGTAAGTCCACGACGTTATTCAATATTATTTCAGGGGAAAATTTCTCGGGCTTGCGTACACGTCTCAGGTATGGCATTAAGAGATTTGCCGCCCTACGCCACGCGGGAATTAATGAATGTTTGCCTGCGACATCGCGACGCGAAACGCTCAAAGAGAACCCATGTGTGTGTGTAAAAGGAGATATGGACTTGTTATTTTTTGAATTTGGAATGATTTCTATTCTGAAAATTTTTAAAAATGTTCTATTTTTGATTAGGCCCATGTTATTTTATTTTCTCAAACTGGATAAAGAGAACGCATCACTCAACCTCACCCGCGCGTAAGTTCCATAAAACTTATCTGGGAAACATTTTGTTAAAGCTGAATAGATTTAAATGACCGTTAGAATGAATGTGTAATGTAGGCAAGACAAGAATTTAAGCTTAAATGGAAACGATAACCTAGTCTCCTAGACAGTAACAAATCTGACTTTTGATTTATCGACTTAATTCATACAAACTTATTACTTATGCGGCATCAAACAAATTTGAGAATATCTTAGATGTCGTATGGAAGAGAGAATAAAACAAATGAACGATTCGAAAAGAAATTTCGCAAATATACTTGAAGTATTAAACCATCATACATAAAAAGGCAACAAATAGACTCCACCGTTTCATGATATCGATAAAAACATTGATTGAAGGAATCGAGTTCCTATTTATGTTCGTCTGTACTCACAACGTGTTCAAACAGACTTATAAATGAAATTGCCCATATCAAATTGACAAATCAATGAAATTGCCATTCAGTATAGTCCCCGCAGTGCATATATCACGGGCGGTTTTAAAATTCAAGTAGCTAGCCGGACATTCGGATTGTTACCAATATTGCGAGCGGCGTGCTGAATCTAAATGCGACCGATTTCGTACTCATTCCAGATCAGCTCGCTTTCCTTTTTGGTCCGAACTCGATTCGATTAATTCAAATTCAAACGTTTCATTCGATTCCATCATGTTACTGTTACGATCGCTGTAATCGCAAATCAAACGTTCCATATTCGAATCCAACCTTTGTGGTAGAACACTGTATTCATTTGTTTCCAGCCAACGACGAATAGGAACAGTAGTGGTCGGCCAATCAGGCATCGTTCTGAATTCGAACGGTGGCTGCGCAGGTGGAGCGCTGTCAACGCATGGAGTCCCATTTCTCGCTACTCACAATCGAATGAATATTACAAATGTCACGTTGACAGCTATGCAGTTTCACGCCCCCGTTATGTAGGTCGAGTGATCTTTTTAAGCCGATTTGAAGTGTAATCCATGTCCAGATGCGTTTCACTACGCTGGCATTGATAAATTTAAGTAACTGTACGGAGCCATTTCAGTTTAAAAAAATGGTGATAACCATACTGTTTAGATATTGTATCAAAGTAACTTTAATAGAGTTAGCTGAACGGTAAGTTAATATCGACATGTCAGGGCCTATACCGGAACTGTTTTGCAGACGCCCATAATGAAAGCACTTAGCGTTAAGCGAAGCAATTATAAGTAATTTGGAACGCGGTAATGGGCGCGGACAGCGAAGCGCAAAAACCCGCTAAACGAAAAGCGCTAAAAGCCCCCCTAATTCGATTGTCGCCCGTTACTTTTTTTAAACTTCCAAATCTAAAAATGCAACCGAAATAAATCTTCAACTTTTTACAAGACTGAACTGTTCTATACGGAAGGTACGTAGACGCACTAAATTGGGCCAATAATAAATTCCCGTCTCAATATTTTAGGCATGAAGCTAATTGTAAAAGCTTTTCCTAGTCGTCGTAATTAAAATTCGCGCTTGTAACTGGAGTGGATCGCGTCGGAAATTCGGGGAATTCATAGCCATAAAGAAAGTGGGATTCGGCGGCTCGCGGCGAATGAAACAGAAATACCAGGCTCACAGGAGACTTTGCGAGCATCACCTGAACTGTGCTCAGCGAGCGGCGCCTTCTTCGGCCCTGGTGATTTATGGGCGCGGATCCGGACCGGTAATGAAATTGCACCCTCCGCCCCCGGCCGCCCCGCGAAAACCCATTCTAGAAATTACTACGCAACACTGAGCCGTGCACCGTCTCGCCGCGCTGATAGCCTGGTACTTCTAACTGAACTTCTTATGCTAATGCTTATTTTTTTTCTTTCTCGTTCATTCATCAATCACAAACAATCTCGGGAAATGCTTCTGTCTCTTAAATGGATGTCGAATACAGTTTCGTAATTGTGTTTTCAATGTCTTTAGAAATGGCGTGTACCCTTTGAAAAGCGAGCTTTGTCTACGCAATGAAAAATTTATTGCTCTCGCAGGGAAATTTTAATTGAAAAGCGACGGGGCTGCGACTCGGAACGGAGCTTTTCAGTGTTAACACTGTGGCCGTTTTTTCAACTTCCACCAATAGACAGACGGTGTACAGTAATTTCAGTGTATTCACGTGAATCGGATCTAGAGGTAGCTCTTTCTATTCAAAAACGGTCAACTGCTCCTGGAATAGTTTGTTGCAATAAAAGTTTTAAAACACTTTTGTTGTACCTATAACAAGCAGAATCTGCTTGAATATGTTTGGATGCCAGTATCTACATAAAAAGCACAAACTTTTTCTGTAACTCCATTTTGTACTCTGAACTTGATTTAGTTACAAGTAAATATAGTATTTCTAACCTACAAATTAGAAAGAATTAAGGAATCTTTACTTGTGTCATCATCCTAACAACATTGAAGTATTTTAGATCCTGTGATTATGTTTCCCTCGTAGAACGTTCCCGTTAATATCTCAACATAATAATTAAAGTACTGGGCTAACATAAAGAGCCGTTAACGACTGCGGTACCAGGCTAACATAGATCGTTTACTAAAATTCAAAGTACCAGGCTAGCATAAAGCTCCGATGAAAACTAAGGGTACCAGGCTAACATACGTTTGCGCAATATCCAAAGTACCAGGCTAGCAGCGCAAGAGAGTCGGTAAAGAAAGTACTAGGACAGCATAAAGAGCTGTGTCCAAAACTAAATACTGGGCTGACATAAAATTAAGAAAGACTCACCGTTAAGTGCTGAAAGAGCCACGCCCGCAGGATGTTGGTAGCCACCTTGGGAAAGATGCCGCGTTTCTTCTGGTTTTTCTTTCCATTTGTGTCGTCATCCTCCTCTCCCGTGCCCTCGCCGGAACCGATACTCGCGTTGCTTGCATCCCCTGTAAATAAAAAGGATTGACAATATTCGATACGTCGCGTCGATGGACATCGGAAAAGAGTGTTTTAGTGTGTGTGTTAAAAAAGGCTACAGACCACAATGTATATAATTTCATCATAGTTTTTCCACAGATTAAATGTCGTAATGGTCCAACAAAAGAAATGAGAATCCGCAATCAAACATGTTTAATGTTAATAAAATTTCGTAGTTTATTCCATAAAAGCCCATCGTAGGTACCATATTAATGTAGTGAAACATAAAAGAGTTTTATGGAGGTTATTTTAATACATCCATGAACAGCGGTTGTGCAGTGCTAACGATTCAGCGCCATAATGGATCAAATTTTATTCCTGCCGCGCCGGGAGACCGTAAAAGAATACGACATCGCATGTTAATACCTTAATTATATGTAAACATAAATTAAACGATTAATCTGGATTTGTGCGTCATAGTTTACCCGCAAACGACCCTTTACCCAGTGCACGTACGTAGCAGACAAGACAAATTTCACATAATTATAATAACGTGTTAATCGCGGAGTACCAGGCTCGCAGGAATCGTAGATGATGTCTCGCGAGCGCCGCTTATCAGAGATGCGTCTGGCATATTAATTAGAAACGCCAAGTTGTATTTATTTAATCACCTGCCATGTCACTGATTCGTATCTAACGTACCAACGGTTAATTAATTCTTGGTGTGTCTCGTTTGAAACTGCGTCGATGAGGAGACGTTTCAAATGAGGCGTATGTCGCTGCATCTGTGGTCTGCTTACGGTGTAACAAATGGTATGGCTGTACGCACCAAATTCCTTTGTCTCTAAATGGTGTTTTCTTTCCAAGCGTCTCAAAAGATGTGATTAAATAGGCAGTTTTTTACTGGTAACGTTCAAATTGGACGTCGCCCTTCGATGTTACTGCGCTACTAATGATTACTAGCCCTTTTACGACGACGATTATCTCCCAAAAGTGTTTTAATAGTCTCATCTGCTCCCCAGAAAATTATATTTGCGCAGTTACACCGTAATAAAACTCGACAGTGGATTTTACAACACTTTTCAATTTTATCGTGTTTAACTTATGCTTCAGTTTAGTTGGTTAGTTGCTCTCTTTTGGTATATTGGTAAATTAAATGGTGCTTTTAAGATACTTTTACGATTGAAGGGCGTAGACATTTTAGATTTTTTTTTATTATTTTTATATTTTGCTAAACGCAGTCTCGATGGGGTTGATTTATAAGAGAAAATAATATGCTGTGTCTGTGTTTTTCCTGAATAATTAACGTTGATTTCCAGAGTGAGCACGCTTCTAGACACCAGGAGAGCAGGAGCGCGGAGTAGCTCGTGGAACACGATAAACAAATTAGTGTGCACTGAGCCGTATCAAATATTCATCGCGGCACGAACAAATCGAATCAGTACGTAGTAGGTGTGAGCCCCGTCTTATTTCTTTTCTCCTTGTACCAGTCGTTAATAATAAAATACCGAATTCGCTGCTTGAATTCTTTTGTTTCTTTTCTACATGTATTTACTGCTTTTTTTTTCAGTAAAAGGAAATAGTATTCGGAGCAGTATAAAGGTTGGGTTACATATATCGGATGGGAAACGGATAAGCACCGCCTCAACTCAGCCGTTAAGTATTCTTTGAATGAAATTCTATGCTGCATTCAAGCAGCAATGTCCACTGTATTGTATTATTGTATTGCTTCGGGACCGCTCACAAACTACAAGCGGCCAGTGATCAATTTGTGTTCCATTCGCTTACGTCTTTCCGTCAACTCGCTAACGTCTCCACTAAAGCTGATTGAAAAATATTTGTTCATCAGTTGACGCCTAGCTGCAAATGCGTTGTGTGTATACCGTCGTACTTATTCATCCACAGTTTGCATTTAAAAATATTTGATAGAGATGTGCCATTATTATCACAACGCGTTATCGACTAAATTGATGTTTGAAACGGCATGTGATGTATCGAGTGTCTGCGTATCGTATTCGACCGGTGGCATGCACATTGTGATGGTAATAGGGGCAAAGTAATAAAATTACTCTTAGGCCATTACCCGTCGCCCCTCGATGTTGCATGCTACCCCATCGCGATATAGGGTGTAGAAGACACAATAAAACGGTTTCAGTTTGACAAAAACAACGGGATTATTGTCTGTGTAATTGTTTTATTCGCTCGCAGAGATTTATTTACGCGGATAGCGCTGTGCTTCCGAACTCTATGCATACAAATTTCTCTTAAAGCTCTGGAGCGGGTTCGAAATTTGAAAATTATTTCTATGGCTGAAAGTGGGCGAGCATAATTTTTAAATTTAAAAATCGAAGCTGTATGTTCCATTTATTTATTTTTTAATATTATTTGAATTTTATTTCTTAAAAAGTTAGAATTAAATTTTTCGTTATCATACTCATCCTGTATTTGTATATCAGCGTGCAAAATCAGAGTGCAGTTGCATGACACAGTGTGTGTAATCCCCTAATTCATCTTAGGGTCACGCACACACTGGCGGGACCCTAATCTTCACTAATACACCCCCAAATGGTTGTGTACAAACAGTGACGGGGACTCGTGTGAAAAGTCATGAGAATTTAAATTAGTCTATTGTGATAGAATTGCTTTTATGGCGTTCGTGAAAAGAAAACTGATAATGTTTCCATTTTCCTAAGCTATGCTTTAAATGTTTACTAGAAAAAAATCCACGTGGACCAGGCAGCGGACGGGACTCGAACCCGCACCCTTCGCAATCCGGCCGAATGCACTGACCATTATGCTACCACGGCCCTATTGTCCGCGTCGAAATTTTCCTAGCCTTAAGCTGCAAGGCAGCGCCATCTCTTCGCATTGTAGGTAACCCACAAAAGTAAACTTTTCTTTAGATTTAACCATCTAGCAGTTAAATGCTTATAAAATAAATAAAAACATATGCTTTAAATGTTTAAGGCCACAGTTTTTTTGTCACGTTCCGTTTGTGACAGTCGTAAGTTTCTCCTATACTTTAAGAAACATTACCTATTTGCACTGAAACGGTATAAATAGCGGCAAGCCTATTGAGCAAAACCACAGACAAAACAACTTGCGCAGTAGACGTTTCTGCATTTCAAATTGCCGTGCTTTCTTATCTATGGTCGATGCTCAAGAAGTCAGTATAGCAGATGGTAAATTCTATGCTTGTTTTCACTCCTAGTCCAGAATACTTTTTAGATATATTGTAAATGTTGTTATTATTAAAAGCTCGCTTGATGCTCACATCCCCCTTCGGTCGGATGGTTGGTTCGTGACGCGTGTGTCGCGGGTTTGGTGTCAGGTTGCAGCCAATCGGCTTACGAATGGAACCGATAATTCCAGCAAGATTATCCGTCATGAGCACTGTGTGCATCTCGCTAATTGACCCGATACATGTATGTTGCATTAAGTAGTCTGTGGTATTATTACTACTTAACAACAACTTAAGAATGAAACTATTCTTGGAATTAATATAGAAAAGTTTTTAAATGTTTTAACCCAAATAAATAGAAAACAAACCGAAGAGAGGCTTTCTATCTCCTTCTTATGTTAAATTATGCAAACAAAAAGAACTAATAGTATCTGTTGGTCTTGCAGTGTGTGCTCGGGGTTGGGATTTTATCTCCTGTATGATGGGTTCCCAAGCTGGTGGTATATACCAACCATCTTCCCTATTGAAATTTGGATATTTTTTAATCTCAATAACCTCGCATATCATTCTAGGAATGAATCGTTGCTCAGTTGCAAGGATCTGTGGTTTATCAAATCTAATGTAATGGTTTGGTCCCCCTAATGCATGTTCACACACTGCAGACTTATTTTCCCGCCTATGTTTCATATCCTAAGAAACAAATACTTATGTTTAAAAAAATATTTTTTTAGTTATGATTTGATTTATTTTTTAAGCATTTAACTGCTAGATGTTTAAATCTAAAGAAAAGTTTACTAGAAAAATATCCACGCGGACCAGGCAGCGGACGGGACTCGAACCCGCATCCTTCGCTATCCGGGTGAATGCACTGACCATTATGCTACCACGGCCCTATTAGCCGCGTCGAAATTTTCCTAGCCTTAAGCTGCAAGGCAGCGCCATCTCTTCGCACTGTAGGTAACCCACAATGTCAAATGAATACTTTTTCAAGTATTAAACATTTGAAAGAAGAAATAGCAATTATAGTTATGATTTGATTTATTTTTATTTAACCTGCTAGATGTTTAAATCTAAAGAAAAGTTTACTAGAAAAAAAGTCTCAATAGCTTCGCGTATCATTCTAGGAATAAATCGTTGTTCAGTCGCAAGGATCTGTGGTTTATAAAATCTAATATAATGGTTTTGTCCCCCTAATGCATGAAATATCCGAACGCTCAATAAAAATCTTTCGAAGGTAGCTCCACAAAGTATTAACATCATTATTCCGACGACGCATCCTATAAAGGATGCGAAACGTCAATAAATAAATAAAATCAGTGCATCTATACCGTTGAAACTTGTTTTATTATATATATTACTAGTTGTCCCACTTCGAACTTCGTACCGCTAAAAAAATAGGGGTTGATTGTAAAGGGTTGAAAATTCAGGGTTATGTAATATATAATAATAATGCTGTATCATAAAAAATATAAAAAAAAAATTGTCTAAAATTGAAAAAAAAACGGGTGTGCCTCAAGACGAAAGTCTTCAATTCGTGCGTGTTGCCAGTGATGACATACGGAACCGAGACGTGGCCGCTTACAATGGGTCTTGTAAGAAGGCTCAAAGTCACCCAAAGGGCAATGGAGAGGGCTATGCTCGGAGTTTCTCTGCGTGATCGAATCAGAAATGAGGAGATACGCAAGAGAACTAAAGTCACCGACATAGCCCACAGAATTGCAAACCTTAAGTGGCAATGGGCAGGGCACATTGCTCGCAGGACCGATGGCCGCTGGGGCGGAATGGTCCTCGAGTGGCGACCGCGTACCGGGAAACGCAGTGTTGGCAGGCCCCCCACAAGGTGGACCG